TATGTGTGCCCTATTTTGCAGATTGGGGAAGCGATCATCATCGGTGTTGGACTTGCTGGATGATGATCAGCGAAGAAAGAAGGCTGCACCGGCTGCTGTTTATGTGCCACTAAACTTGGCTGATGATTTAGCTCTACGATTTGGTAAATGATTCTAGTTTTGATCATGTAAAAATCCCAGAATACAAATTTTGGCGTGTTTCATAATAGAGAAAAAGTTACTGAATGTGCCATAACACAATGTAGGGGAGAGGAGTGAGTAGAGTAATAATAGAAAGGTATATTAACAACGGATGAAATAAGAATCAAAAAGGGAGGTAGGAGATGAGAATTACAAAATTTGCCAATTAATAGAACTGTTTTAATAACAAGAAATGAGTAGGTCCATTAAGTCGTGTACATTTCTTATCATGTTTAAGGGACCAGCGAGAGGCTGTTAAGAGGAGGGAAAAGGGGAGTTGGAGCGACCTTTTATCTACAAAAATGCAACTTTGTTAAAGAGATGATCGGCTTATAGGGACAAAATATCTTTTCCAGAATAATGAACAATTTCGGCGTTTCCTCACTTTTCACCTTAAAAAAACTAAAAAAATTGGTTAGTTAAGCTTGTAATGAGAGAAAAAAAAACGCTAGGTATTTCAGCTTGTTGATAGTTAGTTCCAGAATCAAAGGCCTGGCACAGTCACACTTCGCATCAGGGAAGCATTCCAATAACATCACTAACATGAGATACACACACTGATTATCCAGATAGTCTTGGTGTTGTAGCAACAGCTTCCTTTCGCTGCAACTTCCAATCATACATAAAATCTTTTTTCTTTTTGAAAACCAATGAAACTTGGATTCTTTGATGATGCGCAAAATAAAATACTGTGTTGTTTTTGTTGATTTAACGCTGTGAAAACGCATACTCACCAAACAAGGCAACTGCAAAGTGGAAGCATGCCCTAAGCGACATTTCACATAGATCAAGCAGCCGGTCAAAAAACCAAAGGAAAATGACCATATGTGAGATGAAGTAAAATATGATGGACAATTCTTCGCGTTCTTGTATCGTTCGTTGAATAGTACTTACGAAAAAGTAAGTGAGCGATTGGTCATTATTTTGACGGAAGCACAGTAAACACAGAGAACAACTAACTGGGAGAAACGGAAAGCCCGGTGCGTCCTGAACGAAGCCCTTTCTCAAAAATTTTTCTGGACTGAATGGGAATGGAAACACTCCTTTTCATACAATGTATTACCACTGCATCACCGGTCCTTGCTCTTCAAGTCCAGCCTGGCAGCATATCTACAGAACATGGACCTTTCAAGGCAAGATACATCTTTCTCGTCTTTTTTCTTTGTGACGGCTTCTTGGCCGGCTTTTTGCGAGTTTTCTGCAACACGGTGTAATCGCGCGCAACCATATGGTAACATGCCCAGCGCAACAGACTTAAGCCCTTTGAAAGACGTCATTAGTATTTTGTGCATCAGCAGACTGTATGGAACATTGCCACTCCTGGACTACGGTGAATGTACCTTCAAAACGAAGAGGAGCAAAAAATACGGCAGCAGAAACCAGCCAAACTGTCACTGCGGTATCACATTCTAGTGATATTAATGAGATGGTTCAACACTTCAAACACAGCTATGCCCACCTTTCTTAGTCCTGGGTTTCACTCCTTCAGAATTAATGCCCTCGACCTGTTCAGTGTATGTCGCACCATCTTTCTGGGGCTATTCGAGTAGTCGTTTACTTTCTCGTGGATACCGTTTTCACTAACTGGCGGTATCCACCAACTGCCAGCAAGGCGAGCAACATGGTCTGCTCGCGCTGAATTTTACTATCTCGCCTAGTAGATTATTTCATTCTACGCGCTTTTATTACATATTTATGTAAATGCAAAAATCCTTTCCAATACATTCACATAATCTGGTACTAATTTTGCAAGTGCGATCGATTCAGGATCGAACGACCTGGCATAGCTACATCCAGCATGTAGTAACATTGCACCACATTCACTTGTGCGAAATATCCACACCGATAGCTTGAGCGGCGTTGGTGTTCTGAGATTTCTGGCATGATCCGAACACGAGCATTTTAATGTATCCGCGATTCCAATCAGTTGGGCAGCAACTATTCTTAATAGAAAGGTATATTAAAAAGCGATGAAATAAAAAGAATCAAAAAGAAAGGTGGGAAATGAGAATTTGAATTAGAAAACTGGAAACTTTGTAAAATTAGTAAAATTAATGCTAAAATGTTTCAGCCCATTAAGTCGTATACATTTCTTATCATTACCACAATTGGACCTCATCAATACGACGATTATGGTGGTTGAAATTAGTGAAAATTAAATTTGAATTAATTGTCTAATACATATTAGTAGTAATAGAAGTCATACCAAGGCAGACAGGAGAAGCGGGAAGCTGATCATAGTCTAAAACGAATTTCCTGTGTTGGTCATAAGGCGATAATATTGCGGGAGGAGCTCTTTAATAGAAAATTAGACTTTTTTAGTAAGTGTCTGGTATTCCAAGACAGTTCAAGCTCTAAGTGGTAGCTCGGCAGCCGGTGGGATAAACTCTCTGATAATCTGATTAGGCCCAATGGGATGGTGCAAAATTCTTTTTCCACTATTGAATTTTAGTATTGGATAATATCTCAAATAAAGATGAGACATCAACATAGAACACGTTTTTT